CTGACATTGCGATGGCGCCAGTAGTAAGCCAAATGGCATGACCATGACTACCGGCCAGCACTTAAGTGTGCACGAATGTTGCATAAGATTTATGATGTGGCATAAAATGCGGCACTTGTGTTTTAAGCGTTTGCGGCATCAGGCAGCTGTTGAGACGTGGGGGCGATTATGTCTATGCCGCTGGCATGCCAACAGCTGTGCTGCTCATTTTCACCGTAAGTCTTCGCTGGAAGTGCGAGATATTTGGAGATACATATAATGTGTAGGTGTATTTAAGATAGTCTATATGTACATGTGGAGATGAAACTTAGGATATAAATGGGCACATATTATATGTACTTTTAACTAGCCGAAGGAAGAAGTGCATTAAAACATGTGATAATTTTTTTAAGTATTTAATATTCAACACATACAACATAATGAAGGGTGATAGAACAAATATACCACGAGCTGCGATCATTTTTTGGTCGCGCTTCAAAATATAACCCATCTGGTCCAATAATACAAACTGACTTGATTTTTCTGCTCACGTAGTCTTTCCATAAAACAATGTTTATGTGTAGGGCTCTGAATCTCATACACTCAAAAATCGAAAATATGCGCATATATTTAATATGCACTCAATAATCAAAAATATGCGCCATATACAAGTAAAATATGCAATTAGAAATATTTTCCTAATATTTTATTGCCGGAACAAAAATAAATAGCACACGTATTTTAGCAAGAAAATAACGAAAACAATTCACTGCAAAATACAATAAAAATTTATGTATACTATAAAATTAGTTTATAACCAAGCATTCAAATACAATATTGTGTAAATAGAAACAATGACAGTTTGAGAAAGTGTGCCATTTTGATTCCACATTCCGCAGGAATGGATGGCCGAGTGTCTCTAGCTTCATCCTTGCAAGGGCCTGGACACTCGCACAGGAAGTTTTCGACTGCCTATTTTGAGCCGGAGTCATAGCAATTACGACATTAAGTTAGTAGATACCTTCTTTGCTCATTCCTAAGAGAGCTTTGGTCTAAATGGGTCTTAGGACACCCAGAACTGCCGGGTAATCCTACACGATCCTGTACGGTTCCACCTCTGCTTAGCCTTCGAGTGATAAATTTCGGTGATTGTTGCTTTTATCTCCCTGAGCGAAGCGCCCATGGCCACCCCGTGAGACACATTCAGTGCGGAGCCGCACCTTGCTAGTTCGTCCGCTGTCACGTTTCCGTAAATGTCCCTATGTCTCAGGAACCATATTAGGGTAATTACGTATTGATCTGAGATATAGGAAAGCTCTCTCCTAAAGTCTTCCACTAGTTGAGATCTAAAATGGGTAGAAGAGAGTACCTCAATGACCGACTGGCTATTCGACAAGATATTCAGATGAATATTTAAGAAAAAATTATAGGGATATTTTTTTGGCAAGAGATTTCGCGATAAATTTAATGGATGTAAATAAAAAAAAATATATAAAAAATAGTAAAGTTTTGAATTCGAGAAAATATATATTTTTTTCATCGACATTTTTTCTATGATTCTCGCATTCTGGTTATCTTAATATATAAAAATCCCGTGTCACTGTGTTCGTTTACGCTAATCCCCGAAACCGCTTAACCGATTTCAATGAAATTTTGTGGGTGTGTATTGTTGGTTCCATCGTAAAAAACGGGATAGTTTTGGATCCAAGAAAAAATATTTTCTTCATCGACATTTTTTTGCATGCTTCTCGCAGCGTTCTTAAAAATCCCGTGTCGCTATGTTCGTTTCCGCTAACTACAAAGGAGAAATAGGTAGGATAGCAACAAAACAATGTATGTATTTATACATATAAACATGCGCATATCAACAGCAACAAGAAATTTACCGTTTGGATACCATCCAATGTTATTCATTCCCCTGGTTGATGTTTTAACTGTAACCAGAGAATAATACCAATATATTGTAAATTTCGATACCAAATGAAACGTAAGCAACAATGTGGCTCCCACACCGAACTCGGTATTCGGTAACTCGGTGCTCGGTATTTTTTCCCATGTATTTTTTTTTGTGCAAAATAGTGTTACACAGTGTAAAATAGTGTTACACAAACAAAATATACGGGAAAAAAAGCCGAACACCGAGTTACCGAGTATCAGTCTTCGGTGTGAAGACCCATAATATCTAGGATGCATATAACCTGTCTATGTATCGGTGTTTAGCAGGACAACGTCTGCCCGGGCTTACTGGTCTAAATATATATTGTTATACACCATTTTAAATGTCTATGTCTCCTTTCAAAAACGTTTCAATTTTGAAATCGGTTGTAGTACAGTAATAGATTGGCGCTTACACAATATGTTAATGTTTGGCCGAGCTTCTCCTTCGATTTGTGTTGTGCTCCGTGATACTATGTGCATACACTCAAGCACTTGTTTCATACCAACCATTTCCGTTGCACCATTTCCGTGTGCAATTTCCGTTGCACGTTTTCCGTGTGCAATTTCTGTTAAATTTGCCAATTTACTCCCAACCACCTAACCGCCGCTAAAGAAGTTTCATTTCAAAAAGATATACAAAGAAAGTCAAAATAACAACTCGTGCTCTTACATCCGTAGTTGTGTGAGTAAAGTATACACCCCGTAGCACGATGCAGGAAATGAAGGTGGCGTCATTCGCGGATCGCTAAACATCTCTTTGTCGATTTGACAGCATCCAATCATTTACTAACGTCACAATATTTTTGTTTACATTCACTGTTGCCAACTTGGTGCTTTTCGCACCAAATTTTGTTGTCACGCAGGGTTGCACGAAAAAAAAATTTAATGGCTAAAAATATCAAAACATAAAAATATATCAAAATATTCGCCATAAAAAGGCGTTTGGTCGCCAGCCAACATTTAGCCATTCAACGTTTTTTCGTGCAACCCTGCGAGAGTTGAACGCAAAATCGCCCCGTGCGAACATCTTTTGAAGGGTAATACGGCTTACATACGACACTGGGAATTACTTTGTTCGATCCTCCAATTACGATCGCGAATTACCCCTTTCCCATGCGCACATACTTAATTCGATTTGGCAGTTCTCTATCTCTGTGTTTTGTTTATTTTTCTTCGCTATAAAATGTATGCAAAATTTAAGTAATTGCATTTTGTACTTATAAAAAGTGCAAGTTTTGATTTGAGAACTGGTTTCGATAAATGTCCGATAAAAATTAGAGACGGCAGCGATTTGTTCGTAATTCGCATGGTAATTGGATCAGAATTACCAACAAATGTGGTAATTCGCTCTCAAAATTGAGTATGGCGAATTACGTAATTCCAAGGGTGATTGGAGTGCGAATTACGAATGAGAGACCAAACTACGTAATTGGCGTGCAGTGGGAAATCCGTATTAAATATTACTGACTACGGCTAAAAGGCATTTGTACTGTTAAACTTTCAGTACAAAAAGTTTACGTCATTTAACTGAATGTTGAACAATGTAAACTCCTTTTAAATACAATGATTATGTACGATTATGAAATAATATTCTAAACGAAATTTTTAAAAAATTTCTTCCCTTCTATAAAACTTGAAAAGGAGGACAAGGAGGACATTTTTGTTCAAAAGGAGGACAGCGAAGGACAATATTTTTGAGAAGGACAAACGGCTGGTCTGCTTAATATTCTGCATGCTGCCATTTTTTTTAATTTGGTGGCACACTCTTGAAACTTCACAGATATTTTTTATTTGCTGCCAAAGTCCCTTGCCTCTAATATCAGCATTCGATTTGAAAACTTCCCAAAGCTATTAAAAAACTCATTATGTCTTTTTGACAGACCTAGACAAACGTTTTAAGACTAAAATTGTTCCAAGACTTTATCTATTTTTTATTGTACTCGTTTCTGCAACTCCATTGATTGAAATAAATGCAAGAACACTGCTTTAGCGTTTTTGTCTGCCGAGAGAAGGAAGTGACACTAAAAAAAACAACTCGTGAGATTTGCTCACATACATACAAATTTTCGGAGGCTTTCTTGCATACTATATTAAAGTCTACCAGAAAACTCGATAGGTGGCGCTGGAGTCCAGTTATCCATAAAATTCGTATTTACATATGCACAGATTTCATGCAAATGCAAATAATGAACCTGCTAGGTGGCGCCGTACTTGTTTTTACTCTGAAATTGAAAAAAAAATACCAAAAATGTCGAATGAAATTTAGAAATTTAACTTCAGAATCAATATAATTAGGCTCTCAGAGGGCCTAGAAATTTTTACCATGGCTCAAATTAAATATCTTTAATAGCACTTAATTATAATTGTAGTTGAATGTTATAAAATTGTGAGAAGAATGCACAGCTGCATGCATTTCATTAAAACCGCAATAAATAATGCAATTACTTTTTCGTTTTTTAAACAGTGGAATGATGTTTCTGGTCTCAAAATCTATAAAATTTTTAAAAAACATACAAAGGTTTTTTGGAACAAACCCGGTAGTTCAGGTGCCGGTCCAGGCCGACCAGTAAAATCTCGGCGCAGAAATTCATCGTGCCGCTTCAGATCTAGCGTCAGCTTGATCATGTAAGCATGCAAGGCCAGATTCTTCCGAAAAAAGGAACCATAATTTTTTCTGGAAAACTCCAATTCTTTCGCGCGGCTTGGAATCGTCTAATTTGGATCGTTTACGACAGTTGCACGCACGGCAGCGATATTCTGTCTGCAAAAATCTGGCGCATCTGCGCCATTACAAAACTGATAACTTCCTGTCAGGTGGGGTGATTATGGCCCCTGAAAGTTAGGCTTAGTGCTCTTGAAGTTGCATCCGACGACTCAGAATTTCTGTCACTGTAAAAGTCTAGCAGCCTTTTACTGCCATTTCATGTTATCTCTTCAGAAGGCGTTAACTAAAATCATTAATCCACATTTATAAATTTGCCTGAAAAATACATAAGCATGAATATGTATGGTATTGATTATATAGGTAGATATGTTCTCTTATTTTTGTTCGTTCTAATTCTTTGTCCTACTCGCTATTTCAGGTGGCCTGGATACGTCATCGGGACCTGCACATCCTTACAGTTGGCACATATACGTACACTACAGATCAACGGTTTCAAACATCATATCATCGGGACATTGATGAATGGACTTTGCAAATAAAATGGGCACAGCAGCGTGATGCCGGAATTTACGAGTGCCAAATATCGACCCAACCAGTGCGAAGTTTCTCGGTGAATTTAAACATTGTTGGTAAGTGGCTTTCAGGTTAAGTCTGGGTTTATACATACAAACATATATATGTGTGTTTACAAGCATATACATTTAAGTATTTAGCACGTATATGCTTATGAATAAAAATCGTCCAAATGAATAAGAGTCAAAAACAAGCAATGTAGGGTATCTTAAGATCTAAGTCGGTTATTAATTGCAAAGGTATACTTTTAAAATGCTTTCTACAACGAAATAAAAAACTCCTTATTTCAAACCCACTTTTCAAATGGTAAATAGTCTTTTAAAAATGGTCAAGGTGTTGGAGCTTGACTTTATTCTAGACAAAAAAATTGGACTGAAAGCGAAAGATCGAAAGCTATTTAAGGAAAGCGCTTGCTTCTTTTTTATGACAGTAAAACAGTTATAATTATAAAACTGGGAACCAATCCATAAATTAGGTATACACTAAAGCTTTAATTAAAAAAAAAAAAAAAACAAGCAACTACTAATTTCATCGCTTCTTGTGGAAGGGCAACTTTGGACTCCATTCAAGACACTTCGAACTTTTTAGCAAAAGATTTTTGAAGAGGACTTCAAGCTAGTTACAATGAAGCCAGATTAAATAACATTTAGCCATTGGAGAACCTTAGATTAGATAGAGACCAAATGTGTTCTTTGAGAGATCCATGGTATAGGTTCTGATTTACCGTTGGAATTGTAGTAACATCGACCCGTATGCCTTCAGCTTGACCTCGTTCATGCAGTTGGCAAAATGAAAAATAGTTGATTTCTAAGGGGAAAAATGGAGGCTTAACCATAAGCTTTACAGCACAAGTCATCAGAGCCTCAGTTTTAGTTTTTTTGATCGCATATATCAAAACTAGATAAGCGTTGTATCGGAAACACACAGCCACAAGCTAGCAAGAAGAGACACACAAATATCCTAAAATACTTTGCAGCCTCCGAACCGAGAATGGATTTTATGGGAAACTTTTCCGTAGCAGAAATACTACATTTGCAGCTTTGCCATAGTCTAGCGATGGGCGACCGCCTTAGAAAAAAATCTTTCTATTTTCGATGTTGCTCGTACCAGCGATCATTCTAGGTCCCGCGGGTTGGTAGCAAGCTTCTCTAGCCACTCAGCCACCTCTGCTGAAAAATATCTTTCTGCTTAACGCACCAGCGAGCGAAGAACTCCCTATTTTCAACAACAGTCTTTACCAGGTTGTAATTATATGTAAAAACAATCTTAATGAATGCCTGACTTAATGGCTAAAGAACGCTTAAAGGGTAAAGAATGCTCCCTGTAGCAACGTCTGCACGAATGGAGTAGCTTTTTGTTCTAAACGAAGTTTGTCTGACTCATGCAACTTTCGAGAATAGCATGTGTATTTTCAGGAGTACGCCCTTTAATTTATATAAAATTATAGAAGGCTTGATAGACACTTAAAAAACTCAAGTGCAGTGTTTCTCTCATTCGAATGCTTTCCTTGTGTAAAAAAAAAAACTTTTAAATCTGCTCTATGTTTCCGTGCTTTTTTCTAACGTAGAACTGGTGCTGAGGTGTTGTTTGGTTCCCTGAGTATGATAGTTGTTGTAGATGTCCTCTCCGGCTCTTACTATTTAAAGCATAATTTTATTTTTTAAAAGGTAGCTCCTTTTTTCCATAATTCCGTCATAACTAGGTGCCTTGCGATTTTGAATGACATTAGCTGTGATATTTTTCAAATCTTTTATTTAGGTTTTAACAATATTTGGTTGGGTAGAACCTTCATTTGTTCTTAAACCTTAGAAAGATAGGCTTCACATGAAACAGGTCTCTAAACATACTTGTGGGAACGCCAAGTAGTAGCCTATATGTTTTGAAGCAGACTAAAGCTGAAAACTAATTGAGTTAAAAATTTTAGTAATATTGACAAATTCATTTGTTTAGCCAAATAATTTTTCGAATATTTATAAAGCTTTCAACACGTCGAATGCAGTATATGTGTTCCCACTTGTTTTCTTTTCAGTTGAATTAAGAGAAATTTCAAACTGTTTTGGGTCGTTTTTTTTTGTTGCGCTGCGCCACTTGAATTTCCATTTCTCATTTAAATACATTGTATTTAAAGATAGTATGAGGAAATGTACATAAGAAGGTGCATACAATTACGATAAAAACTTTTGACAACAACCTCCTTCAGCAACAAAACACCGTGTCGTATGCGCAACATTTATTTTCAGGTTAATGAGGCGACAATCATAAAAAGATTGTGCGAGCGCAGAACAACCATTTCATATTGCCCCATTCGCTTTTTAAATTGTGAATACAATTACGTTTCAACAAAAGTTACAATGAAAATTTCCCGTCGTAGTGGAAACTGTAAATAACATAAAGCAAAGTTTTTATATGGTGTATGAAGGAGTGCAAGAGTAAAGCAAGAAAACAGTATTTTTTCAACAACAGCATCGCCGGTTGGTTAAGAGCATCAACGTCGAATAGCAACACAAAAAATTAATATTATAATTAAAATTAAGCAAAAAAGCAAGAGTTGAGAAAATGGAAATTTGTTCAACAAACTTTTTCACTAAGCTAGCACATTGTGGGTATACATAGGTGTGTGCGTGTGTCTCGTATAAATACGCACTTGCTCGCTTCTG